CGGCCCCGCGCCGCCGCCGGGGAGAGCCCGCCGGTAAACTGCGCTCCGCTCCTCCGGTGGGCTCCGCCAAAAGTGCTGCCGTGGCCCCTGCCACGCCCGCGGTGCGCCCATCCGCGGTCTCCTGTTGGCGGTACTGCTGCAGCAGTGCTGGCAGGCTGCTGGAGCGGGCTGCCTCTTAGGCTACTCACAAAAGACAGTAGACTAGCCGTGAGTCGCACTTTTATGTCTGTGCTGGTGCATGCTTGCCTCCCTTTTGTGCCCCTCTGCAGTGTAAGTTAGGAGGCCCCGTGGATTCATCAGGAGTGGCAGGCGCCTTCCCTGTGACATCCCGAGGCTCTCTGTCCTTCGGAAAAAATGGATCACCTCCTGTGTGCTGGCTGTAGCTCGGGACATGTAATAAAAGCAAGAAGATGAGCGCAGTCTGATGGAATGGACTGGTGTTGAAGGACAGGGTCGATGCTGCTGCATAGTGACACTTGGGAAGGGGGTGCAAATCTCCTTGGGATGAGTCAGCACATGGTAGCTGTGGTCTGCAGATTTCCTCGCTCATCCCAAGTAGAGCCTTTCCCATGGACTTCATCTTCCGGGCATTGCACACAGTTGTGTGTGCTCTGTGTGGGAGGGAGGTCCAACAAGTAGCCCTGCTTCATGTGGAAGCAATTCCAGATGACTTGCTTGTAAAGATATTTTTCACAATAGACATAGCCATTCCCTGTATACATCTTTCGACGTGTAGAAATGTATACAGCCTGAGTGGCAAAAGCAGCTCCCTTACTATTATGAGGCAGTTGTCCCCTAGCTGAGATGTTTCTGTGGCTGGCTGGGTAGTAGAATTCTCTTAATTGATTTCCAGAGCAGGTGCAGACATCTTTCATAGCCAGTGAGATTATCATCTTGTTGCTCTTCAGCTGCACTTACCAATAGTGGGATGAGATGGACGTGTGGATGAAAGTTTACAGGGGAGGGCAGTTCAGACTAGCATCTTCTGGCATTTAGAGTGGAATTCAGCTTCTCTGACTTGGACATCTAAAAATGGTAGGTTGGATTTAAATACCATCCCCCTAATGACAGGCATCTGAGATGCCTCAGGTGAGACTTCCAGCAGTGCCTACTTCCATCAGGGCCTAAAGGAGGAACAGTCAGGTGACTGGTTCCATTTCAGACACCTGCATTTTAGATGCCTAAGGGCAGATAAATTCTACTTCTGATGGCAGGAATTGTAAATTATTTGCTGATATTGAAGGTAATGCTAGAGCACCTCCTAAATGCTTGTATAATGTGCAGGACTATAAATTATAAAGTGTGGGGAAGGCTCAAGAGATGTGAGGGTGTGCACACAGGCTCAGGCATATATATGGTGCACATATAGTCATAGAACTAGAATTGTGCTACTTAACAGAGCCGACCCAAACTCTGCAAGTGTTAAGGACTCTTGAGATCAGCATGGGTGATGGAACACCTCAGAGGGGATGGGGTCTGGGCAATCGGCCGTGGGAAGCCAAGAGAAGTGTGCAGAGGTGCTGGCCAGAGAGGGGGCAAATAACAGTAGACAGCTGGCCCCCGCCTTCATTCGTCTTGGAGTCCAGTGTGATGGGTTGGGTTAATGGCAATGCTGTCAGAGTGCTGAAAACAATTGTGCCGTAGGGATTGGTAGCAGCTAACTGCCTAAGGAACGGAGTGCGCACTAGTATATAGCTAGGACCTGTGCATCCAACCCATCCATCCTGCTGCGGTTGTCTTTCTAGCTTGCGGAAGTCATCCCTGCATGTCCCAGTCGCTTGTTTGCAGCATTCATAATAGCTGAGGTATTGCTGATGGTGATAGGCAAGTTGCTGGGAGACGTTTTCCAATTGGCTTGATCTGTGTGGTGGCCATTTGTATATGACTACTGTGGTGAAGGGTTTCCACATCTTCAGCTGCCAGACAAGTGGTTCACATTGGCAGGTTCACTGACGTTCATTGGTCAGACTCCCCAGAAGCACCTCAGGCTGTCATTCAGGAGACACCTCTGGTGCTTTAGGCCTTACTAGAAGAAAAAAATGGAATATGACATCTTTATTTCCTTTCTCCCTGCATTATGGGATCACCATTCCCCTTTCATACCACTGCCCCCTACTCTCATGTGGATGGCTGTCATTACTGCATATCTCCAGAATGCAGGGAGCAGCATCCTATGAGATCTAGACTAATGGTGCTCCACAAATTGCCTGTAGGACGCACCTACTAGCCCCGTATTCCCATTGAAGTCTTATGCACAGTTAAATTGCTCTTTCTTCTTGTTCGCAGTGCGTAAGCAAGAAATCATTAAGATAACAGAGCAGCTGATAGAAGCCATCAACAATGGAGACTTTGAGGCATATACGTAAGTACAGATAGCTTCTGACAGGTTCTTTATCAGTTTGTGTGCAAGCAGTGTTCTGGCTCCTGGGTATGAGGAGTTGTCATGCAGTCAGAGATGGTAAAAAGTTTTATGCTTTTTAGCCTCCATCAATTAGGGGTAGGGCTATGGTAGAGCTGTCTAAATGAACATCAAGTAAAAGTCAGATCTCAGACAGCAACAGGAGCAACAAAAGGAAAATGTCCTGGCTTTGTAAGAAAAGCAGCGGGGAGGGCAGTGTGATGGGCAGAAAGAGAATAAAAGAAAAGCCAGAAACCTACAGGCTTGTTTTATGTGAAATGCCAACTAGCGCCAACTCCATGCTGTTGCAGTAGGACTGAGTCCTCCAGGAACTTAGTCCTTGGAGTAGGGAAATAGTTAGGTGGACACAGGGTGTGAGTCAAATGCTGTACCAGCGCTTCATTGTGTAAATAGCCCTTGGGCTCAAATGCAGATTGTAAGCCTGTGGTGCCTTTCTTTGCAGAAAAATCTGTGATCCTGGCTTGACCTCATTTGAACCTGAAGCACTGGGGAACTTGGTTGAAGGAATGGATTTCCATAAGTTTTACTTTGAGAACTGTGAGTGGGTAGATCTGGTAACACCAACAGCTTTCTCTCTAATCTTCCTTTATGCCACATTTTGGGGGGAGAATTGCCCTTGTTTTGACTGGCTGTCAGAACCAGCAAGAACTTGATTGTGCATGGGTTATGACGCATTCATAAGAGCCAGCATGCTTTCTCTCAAAAGCCTTTCTCAGCAACAATTTCAATTCTAACCCCCAGATCCCTTCACTGTAGGCATACAGTTTGCCTGGTGCAAATATTTTGTAAGCATGGACTGCAGGAGCTTTAAAAGTTTGAGGCACCGGATTTCCTACTGATATGGAAATGGAAAAAATGAGCATATTTTGATGGAAACAACATGTATGTTTGGGGTAGACATACTGAATGGTCAGACATAAAGATAGTCATGGACAAATCAGTCATGCCTTCACTTTGAGTTTTCCCTGGACGGTTTCAGATCTCTAACACCAATGAACCCGTTACGTGGATACAAAGGTCACCTTGTCAGCCTGGGGCAGGAAAAAGAGTTGGGAGAAATGCTATCATTTATACTAGTGGATTTGCCTCCCTTCCTGGATGTCTCCACAGGATGAGATAGTTGAAATTTAAATCCTGAGCTGTTAAATTTGTTTTATTTTGGGGGTTAGGTCAAGGTCCTTAGTATAGGCAATTCCTAGTGCTCTAAGTATGCAGAGACTTTGTCTCTCTCAAAAGCCTGTTTTGGAGTGATTTTTACACTTCTCTGAGGCTTGTTCATATTTAATGCAGACCTAGCTTAAAGGTCTCCTGATTATCCACTGCTTTGCAACAATATTCTGTAATTAAAACATCTTTTCCTATAACTGAAGAAACAGCAGCACTGATGTTGAAAAAGTGGCGAGTATGCTTTGCAGAAGAAGTGGGAGCAAAAGGGCCAGGGGATTCTAGGCAATAATAAGTGCGCAGTTCCTAAGGAGAAGAACAGGTGATAGGGGAAGGAATTGCTTGGACTTTGCCTGGAAAATTGCAGGAGCAATTTTTATTGTATCCCAGAATCCAGTGGAAGGTGAGTAGAATACAAAAGAGGTTGGAGGATGCGGGAGCTGTTCGTTCTTAGTAGTAACATGAAGCTGATGGTTTTGCATGTTCTGCCAGTACTGTCGAAGAACAGCAAGCCAATACACACCACCATCCTGAACCCCCATGTCCATGTCATTGGTGAAGATGCTGCCTGCATCGCGTACATCCGTCTGACACAGTACATCGATGGCCAAGGCCGGCCCCGCACCACGCAGTCTGAAGAGACCCGTGTCTGGCACCGCCGAGATGGCAAGTGGCTGAATGTCCACTACCACTGCTCTGGAGCTCCTGCTGCACCTCTCCAGTGAAGATCAAATACGGGTATGGACTATCAGGGAAGGAGTATATCATACACAGCTAAGGCTGCTCTATGTAGGAATTCAGTATTCAAGGCTGTGTAGCTGGCTGGGAGAGAACCATTTTTAGTTGTCTGTAGGCTAAAAACTTCTGCTGGTCAGTTGGTGTTCCTTTCTCTAAGCCCTGTCTTCTGGACTCAGCAGGATTATCTGCCATTCCTGGCAAGCTGGAGTCATGTGCCAGACGGTTGTTCCTGAGCATAGCTACCCTTGTAGCAGCAGTGCTTCCTCCCAGGTACTCGGCTCTCTGTGCTCGGACAGAGTGCTAATCCAGAGCAGAGAGGAAAAGTATCTCATGCTGTGCACAGGTTTGCTGTTTCCCTGCTGTCAGGGATCTCCCTTTACATGCTGGTGATTTCAGAGAAGTTTTTTGATGAGAATGTCATATTCTAGAGAGGATATTGTAAAATCTATGCAGAACAAATTCTTGCCCTTTAGGGTAAAGATTTATTCATACAAATTTTACTGCCAATTTTCTGATTAGCAGAAGCTATTTAGTGTACAATGTTGAGAAAACTCAGAGGAAAAAAAATTTAAACAAATAATAATATCAGAGGATTTAAAATATCTCCCAATGAGCTTGCCACAATTCAGCAGTGGAGGAAACTTTGGTTATAAAATTTGACATGAAGAAACGATTGTTGCTTGCTCCTGAAGGACGGCAGATCCATTTACTTCTGCAGCGTTAAAGCATTCTTGTTTATTGCCTTACTGGTTTCTTTTAGTCAGAAGTACAAAGTCTGTCTGCCTCCTTTTCGTTTTATGCTGAAGTATATGTCACATTCATTTTAAAGATCTAAGGTTCCTAATCTTAGGACCTTTTTACTAAAGATTTTCTCTTTAAGAGCAAACACAAAAAACATCTGCACCTGGGAGACAAGCTTTTTTTAATGTGGTCATCTGAGGATGAACCACTCAAGTATAGTTACTACTTGAGTATTGTGTGCTACTTGGGACTAAGCCAAGAGTGGTTTTTATTCCTAGGTGTTGTGAGGGATTCAACCCTACTGAAGGCAATGGAAAGGAATGTGAACTATCACAAGCAAACTGCAGAGGTCACAGATGGAATTTGAAAAGCAAAAGCCAGTTCGGGGCACCAGAAGCAGGGAAGCTTTCAAGAGAGCTGGACAATCAGATGAATTTCCAGGGAGTAAGGCAGTGAGAAGGACAAAGCCTTTGCAGGGAAACAAAAAATAACTTAATTGCATCAGTTTTAATCACAGCGATGTTGAGGGAGATTTCTGTCCTGGATTTAGTCCAAAAAAGATGCAGAAGAAATTATTAAATTAAAGATTGGTATAGCTCAGAGGCTATGCCTAGGAGTTCTGAGGAAGCTTAGGAACGGAGAGTCTTAGCTGCTACAGAAGAGGTATGTTTCCTTGACTTGGCTGCTGAAATGTTGCACCTCCTCCAAAAGTATGTGCTGGAGGGTTTCTGAAAACTGCAGAGCAGAAGCCATTTCCAAACCACAAAATGTTGGTTAAAACAATATTTTAAAAAAAACCTATAAACTAAATTGAAGTTGAAATATTTGCATGCATTTCTGGGTTCTGAAGGAGGTGTAATCATGTGCAATTATGAGTGGGGTCAGTGTGACCAGCCCCCATCTGAACACACTGAATCATTTTGGAGCAGCATTGGCCCATGTGCAGTGAAAAGTAAGGATGAAGAAGGAATGAGGTGAATAAGAATGCTTAAATAGAAATCAGTGGTTTGTTCTCACCTGGAAGGCAGAGTTCAGTTTTGAGTAAGTCATCTTAAAAGGAAACTGCAACCCTAAAAGAAGTTTGAGGTTAATCACAGGATTTCCGTGTGAGGAGAGAGTAGGAACCAAGAAGGAGGAAAACCAATAAGAGAGTTTGCGACAAGATTTGCAAACTAAGAAATAGTAGAAAGAAGATTTGGGCTACATTTTCATGCTAAACAAACATGAAAAAAAAACAAACTTAAAACTGATCCAAACAAATTCAGTAATTTCACACAAGGAGATTAGCCAGGAAGAGCCTTTGCTAAAAGCAGTCACTAGGGCTACAACTTTGCAAAACTGCAGAAAAGCTCATACAGTTGTTTAAATATTAAGAACATTCAGAGACAAAATTACTGAAGACTTTAAAAAAAAAAAAACAAACTTCAGTTCAAGGCAAAAGCTAATGGCAAGTGAGGCAGAAACTGTTCCTTAGGACCAGAGCCTTTGATTGCCCCTGGGGAAACTTCTTCAACTTCTGGGACATGTCACTCTTAGTGGGCCCAGGTCTGCTCCAATCAAGCAAGCAATTCATTTTAGTAAGTCGTTCGTTTTCATTGGCACACTCAGCCACCTGGAAGGGAAAGTGTGTGCCTCTTGTCTTCGGGGCTCTCCTCATGAGCCCCAGCCTGTGTTGCATTAGGAAGGGTTTCTGCCTGCACCAAATAATTAGCCTGTAGAAAATGTGTTTTATTAAATATGTACAGCTAATGTTTGGCTTTATTTCCTTCCATCTTCCATCCTGTTCTCTCCTCTCCTTTGTGGGTGGACACTACCTCTTCCTGACTGCAGCAACTTGTGGAGATACTCAGCTGGAGGGCAATATCTTCTTAGCAAGCAGCTCTGGAGTGCCTGAGTGACAGCAACGGTCATGTCTGTTTTGACGTTAAAAAAAAAAATACAAATTACAAACAGGCAGCAGCCAAATGCACGAAACCCTGCATGCATCTGATGCTCCGGGCGCTGCCTTTCTGTTGTTTTCCATGGATCCATCGTGTCTGTTTCTGCTGTACGAAGGTGTTTTTAAATCTAAAAAAAAAAAAAAGACATGTTGTTTGTATAAAATAATAAAAAACAGGAGTAATGCTAAATAAATGACAGATTATCCAACATGCCCCCTCCCCCAGGGCTAAGAAAATGGCAGCAGCTGGAACATCTTTCAGAAATGAAGTGAGGGGGAAAGCAAAAGTGAAGGAGAGAGAAAGAGAGAGGGAGAGCAAAAAAGGAGGCGGCTTGAGCAGCGGATAGCTGAACTGTGCTCCGCAAAGCCAAGGTGGAAGCTAACATCACACTCAGGCTGTGCTGCGACTTCAATCAGTGAGAGGTGGCGAGGAGACCCCAGAGGAGCCAGTGTGAAGACTGGGGTCCAAGAGAGAGGAGGCGCTTCTCTTCCTGTTGCCTGGCAGACTGACTTCAGCCTGAGTTTCTTCTTTGATTTCTGCACAGCAAGAACGCTATGGAAAGCTGGTTGCTTGGCTGCTGGATCCCAAAACAGACTTTTTTTTTTTTTTAAAGAAAAAAAAAAACCAAAATGGGATGTTGATTTAAAACTAAAGGTGGAAGTAGGGATTAAAAAAAATGGGTTTAAGTGAATATAACTTAAATAGAAGCTTGCTCTTCAGAGATACTGGTTTTAGAAACAGCCACTACCTGGCCAAACATGGAGGTTTGAAGCCAGATTATTTAATTTAACAAAACAAAACAAGCATTGCATTAAGAGCAGAGATTTTTAGAGGAAGAGGGTACATGTATGGGATTTTCTTTTTTTTTTTTTTTTTTTTTTTTTTTTTTTTCCTTTCTAGTAGCATAGCTGGGATCCACAGTGCTGCAGAACACATGCTCCTTAGGAAGCAGACAAAAAATGTAGTGTTATGTTCTTCATGAAGACTTGCACATACACTCCTATATGAGGCATAAATAGCGTGTGTTTTTTATACTGAAATATAGGCACCCATAGAATTAAAGGGGTTACCTGGCCTCCTGTTTGATTTGTTTGGTCTCCAAGTAAAATAGCAGTGGGAGCCAGCAGCCCCAGCCAGGTGCTTCTCCCCACCACTAACCCATCTGATGTTTGTAAGTGTCATGTTTCCTAGTGTTTATTTGGGTAATTTTTCTATTTTTTACAGTGATGTTGTAACACAGAAAACCATCAGATCAGAACCTCAAAAACCGTAGCTGAAGGACTCCAGGCCACCTCCCTGTGTTGCCTCTGGGTGTTAGAGGATACCTCATGAAGGAGAGGGGAAAAGGAATTGGCACACGTGATCTGATGTTTGTCCTTTGGGCCAATTCATCTTCCTTTCTTTTCTTTGCCGCAAAAGGGAGTCCATGTCCTTTATTCATTGGGTGGGGAACGTGGAAGTGTTTTGTTGACCTTACCAAGGAGGGAGCCTAGCCCCAAGAAAATGGCCTTTCTGGCAGACCCGATAGGATTTGTCTTGACCAAGGCATCACTTGCAGAAATTAGGATGGGCTTTTATCTGAATTTCCGTCTACCCCTAATCATTTTTCGGATCTTTCGAGGGAGTTAAAGTGACTGCATTGACAGCATACTAAGTGTGAGGCAACCTTTTTACAGACCATGGAAGAGAAGAAAGCCAATTTGGAATTTTAATCCTTATTTAACAGAATGCAGAAAATAAAAGCTGTTGCGCAAAGTGGAGCTGTCGCTTCGCAACAGATAGCTCTCTGCTCCCTCTGTTAGAGAGGTGCTATCCCACACTAGGATTAGATCAGCTAACCCCTGAGGAAGGAAAAGACCATCCACACTTCCTAGGTTTGTCTGAGCAAATACCCTTTTCTTCCTCCGTCCACCACCCCAGGGAGGAGAGTGGGGATTGAACCCACAGGGGGGCAAACACTAGATTTTATTATTTTGAAACATTTTTAAGACAGCACTAAGCCAGTGAGTGAAGTGGAAAAGTGAAAAGACTTGGTATTTTATTCAGATTTTTTTTTTAAAGCCACAAAGAGAGAGCAAACAGGAGATTACAATTATGCCATTTCAAAAAGATAAATACAAAACATTATGCATGCCTTCTTTAGGTCTGATCTTCCTTGTCTCTTTACCTGATGATTATTAATAATTAAAAAGAAAACCCTCTGTATTAAGTATCTGCATCTTTCAGAGAAAACTTTTAAAAGAACAGAACTATTGGGTTTTTTTGGTTTTGCACAGTCTTGGAGACAAACTCTTTTTTGGTTTTTTTTGTTTGTTTTGTTTCCTTTTAAGTTAATGAGAACCTTAGCTTGGTATGGCCATTATCAAACACAGCTGTACACCTTTAGCATTCTTAATGTTCTCTTATGGGGCTAATATAAGCATCTATATAATATATATTATAAATATCACATTTTAAACAGGAAATGGAAGGCATTTGATGCAGAATTTTTGCATGATATAGAAATAATTAAAGTTAGCTAGTGTTTGTTTGTTTGGTCTGAATGTTGGTAGAACCTTCATAGCTTTGTTACAATGAAACCTTGAACTGAAGATATTTAATAAAATAACATTTAAACAGTGCAAAGTTTTGAGTGTCATGTTTTTCTCTTAAACGAATGTGGGACAATGTGGAGTTGGCACTTCTGGGATAAGAATCAATCTGCAAAGCTTGATTGTGTCAGTAAATCATGTGATTTAAAAATACCATGTTTAAAAAGGGAAAAGGTAAGTGGTACCATACCTGAACTGAAAAAATATTAGCATTAATAAAAACAAAGGGACAACAGAACCTGTTAAAATGAACTTTATGGCATTTCCCTGTCAGACTATGGGATAATAGGGAAATGTTGCTTCTGTGCCCGATAGCCTAACCCTTGGTGAGCCTAGGCTGTTACTTCCTTTCTCGGGCTTTGTTGTCCTCACCAGTCCTTCAGACTCTGTGAGAGAAGCTGTCTGGCCGTCAGGTTTGCCTGATGTAAACGTGCTGAACTCAAGTTGGGTGGCAGCTGTGTGAGCTATGGTATTTTGTGTCCTAAATGGGATGCTCCTGCAGAGGCACAGAGCAACCACTCACCTGTACAAATTTGCCTCGTCTAGCGGCATAAGCATGATTTCCTAACAGAAGTCAGAAGTTAGTTGGATTTAGCCTGTTTCGTTTCTATACTGTCTCTTGTTATTAGCATTTCATTTATGCTCCCTTGGGTAGGCTTTGTTCCACTCAGGCCTTCGCTGCTTTGGCATGTTTCTTGTATTTCCCACCTTGTACTGTTCACGCTGCTCTCTTAAGGGCAGGCGCCCAGCGGTGAGCCTGCGGTGTGCTGCTCTTGCCTTCTGCCGAGACCCCTTCCCAGCCGGGCCGGGGAGCCCAGCTGTCGGGGAGACAGGGATGCTTGTGTGCTTTTCTGCATCTCCTGCGGCCGGTGGCCCTGTGGCAGCTGAGCGTGTGTCAGGTCTGGCACAGTTACTGCTGTGATTGCACGGGGGATGCACATCTTGTTTGGGTAGTGGCTGCAGCTAGGCCTGAGGGGCTGGCTAGTGTTTGTGCCCCCAGGCTGGCAGGCTTGGCTGGCCCGCTCCTCCCCTCAGCTCTTCTCAGGTGCATCTGGGAAGCACTGCAGATGGGAGGGGGTGGCTTTGCCTTATCACCGAGAGAGAGTTCAGCGTGCTTAATCCCCTTTAACTGCAGCAATTACCTAGTAAATAGGTGTCAGTTGCTGCTGCTTAAAGAGATGATTGCTTTTGCTGCCTGATGAAACAGGAGGAAAATTGTCCTTAGTGTTTAAAGGGAGAAGGTAAGAGTTTTACAGCCCACTTCACTGGGACTGCAGACAATCTGTTCGTAGCCAGGAGAGAGAGTTCCTGCTATTACAGTAGCCAAGAGAGGTTCTGCTATCATTTCTGACATCCAAGACAGCATTATACCTCACCAGGTAAGGTCTCTCTTGAAGCAGTTAATCAGATCTTAATATCTTTGAAGAAATGTTGCAGCATGATCCAATATGCACTAGGAAGACACTCATAAAGTTAGCGATGATTTCCCCTGTTCTAAGTAGCTCGTTTAACCAGGACAAGAGTCATTTAAATGCTTACTGAAAGCACAATAGTCAGACTAATGCTTGTGTCAAGAATATTTATGTAGTGTATATATGGGGCTTTTCAGAGGGTTCCTGTGTATGTGTGTGATTTAAGTACATTTGAAAAAGGTGATGGCGTTCCATTTAAGCCATATTGTATGTGTTTTTACCACTTGCAAGTGCTCTATTAGTCAGTCTTTGGCAGGGGCACTGAAAAAATGTACCAATGGGATAGAATCTGCTCCGGAAAGGGTTCCCGTCTTAGGTTTTCTTTTGTTTTAGCTGACAGCAGGGATTGGGAATGGTACTTATCTGCAATGTGATAGCTCCAGTATTGAGCTATCAAGCAGAGATATTTTCAGAAACCTACTTTCTAGCACGCCATGTCTGGTTAAAATCTGCTCATTGTATTGGATGGTGTTTTGCCATATTCCTACCTAAGAGAAGTGTCTGAGCATCATTTTCTGTGTTCTCTCCCAATATATGCACATGTATGGTTGTACACGTAGGTTGATTACTTTGTGGGCCACCTATGATGGATGGTAGCTTTTATTTGTGCCCATCGGATTTCCCTTTAAGCTAGGATTGGTCTGCTCTCACTTGCTGGGCTAGCAGCACAAAGTCTGGTAGGATGCTTTTATGCCGTAGTATGTATGAGAGGTGGGGAGAAGCATGAGCAGAATTAGGCCTCAAGTGTCGATATCCTTTCCGTTTTATTACAAAAACTGTTACCTTTTATTTACGTGTAACTGATAACGTAGACAAATGGACAGAGCGTTTGACTAGCAATCAGGAGATTTGCGATCTGTTTCTGGTTTTGCTATGGCTCTGTGGGGTGACTGCAGACAAGCCGCTCGTGCTCTGTGCTTCAGCTTTCCGTTTGTCCATGCAGATAATGAGACTGACCTCTCTAGAAGCTGCTGGAAAAGACTGATGAACAGTGAGGCAGAGCAGCTGGGTGGTATTGCTGCTACCCACCACAGATGGCTTTTTTTTTTTTCCCTGAGAATTTGAAAGGTTTGGGACTGCAGACTAATGTACCTGGAATGCTTGTTTATTTGCGTTTGGTATAAATCTATTTTAGAGTTGGGAAAGGTGGTCCTTGGGGGCACTTAAACTGGCTTGAGTGCAGGGTTATGAATTTTTCCCTTGAGATCCTCAGTGCCTGAGAACTCCTCACCTGCAGGAATGGCCTGCCAGTAAGGAATAGGAATTTACTGATCAGTGTGTAGTATTATGAAGAATTTTAAGCAAGCAACTTCTTCTATACTTAACAGGTATTAGAAAACAAAAATGCATATGCTTGTGGTTTTTAAGACAACCTGGCCACAGTGAAAGGATGCAAATAATTAAGTCGGTAAAATCTCAGTCTGAAAGTTCCTTATGCAGCAGTGGGGCCCTCTAAAGCACCAGTGGATGGGGGGAAAGGTTGTTGTCCCTAATCTGTGACAATTTACATAATTTTACTGTAATTATCCATGAATGGATGGGCAGGATGACATTTATTCACAGAAAAACTTTTTGTTAATGCATCC